GCACACCTATCACATTAATTCCATTTCTGTAAATAGTGACCATGAAACGTACCTCTCTGCAGATGACCTAAGAATAAATTTATGGCACTTGGAAATCACAGACAGAAGTTTTAGTATCCTTTTTGCTACGGCTGCGGAGATTCTTAGTTGTCATTCGGGGGGGGGGGGGGCTGCAATGCTGAATCGGGGGAAATCAGGACTCTTTTTTGTTGAAGATGCGACGCCTTGAATCCAAAAGGATTCTTCGGTTCTTAATGTTATAAGTGCGGAGTGGTCACGATGGGGCTTTTGGTGTTGATGCCCGGCTGGTGACTGACCTCCGTCCGCCAAGAAAAAGGGAGACTACACCCCAAGTCTGAGGACGGGGCGGGAGGCGGAATGTGCCGGACCCTTTCCTTTGTCAACTCTGAAACGCAAACAACATTCAGACAATGAAAGTTTTATACATTGGAGAGACATTTAAATTGGTTTTTGACACAGGCCCGGCTTCTCTCGGGCCAGGTATGACTGTGAAGCCATCGAAATATATATAATATATATATATTTTTTTGTCATCATATTAGCACATAGACAAAATTGATGGAAAAACTTGTTTCAAAATCAGTCAGTGATAATAGTTTTCCACGGTACTGCTAAAAAAAGTGCTTGTTAACGGAAAAAAAGAAATGCCGTAGCACCTGACATTTTTATTTCTTATATTTGCAACTGTGAAATTTTAGCAAGAATCATGGAAGGTGATGAACAACATTCGCTTGACCTTGACCCCTGGCCGGGCCTGAGTTTGACAACCGGTGGGAGATGGAGAGACTACACACTTCTAAATTTAGAACCGAAGAATCTTTTGGAGTCCAGTCGCCTCCCTTCAACCTGTTTTGTTTTTTTCTTCTGTCAGCTGTTTTATTTTGTATTATGACACTCCGCGGCTGCTCGTTGTCACCTTTAACCCCCGCCACCCCCTCCCAGATATTGTAGACATCAAGCCGGCGAATATGGAGGAGCTGACAGAAGTCATCACGGCAGCCGAGTGCCATCCCCACCAATGCAATGTATTTGTGTACAGCAGTAGCAAAGGCACGATCCGGCTGTGCGACATGCGAGCGGCGGCGCTCTGCGACCGCCACTCCAAGTGTGAGTGGCCGTCTGCGCGCCATCATTCTGTCCTTTTTTTTTTTTTTCCAATTGTAATTTTTCATGCATCAATTGTAGTCTTTGAGGAGCCCGAGGATCCGAGCAGCCGCTCCTTCTTTTCCGAGATCATCTCGTCCATCTCAGACGTGAAGTTCAGTCACAGCGGGCGCTACATGATGACACGTGACTACCTCTCTGTCAAAGTTTGGGACCTCAACATGGAGAATCGGCCAGTGGAGACGTATCAAGTATGTTTGCAGATATTCCCTTTCGCTCCCCCAAATTTTTTTTCAGTTTTGTTTTTTGCCAAACCAGATTAAGTGTTACTGATGAAATGTGTGAAGTGTTCGTGGGCATATTTGTTTTGGGTGTTCGGCACCGTAGGAAAGGAATTCAGTCGTAAACTGAGGATCCCCTTAAATTCAGCAAATGAGACATAATTCAGTTGCTCCGAAAAAACAAAGGTTTTTATGAAAGGCTTCATGATGTCAAGGTTGTCTCAATTTGCTGTATGCTTTTGTTTGCCCTTCAGGTCCACGAGTACCTTCGCAGCAAACTGTGCTCCTTGTATGAAAACGACTGCATCTTTGACAAGTTTGAGTGCTGCTGGAATGGCAGTGACAGGTCTGTACTTTTTTTTTTTTTTTTTGCCCGCGCTCGTGATTCCCAACCACTGCCGGAGACCATGAAATGATCCAATTTCACGTTCCTTTTCTTTTTCGTGAAAAGTACAGGCGCTCCCCGATTTACGAACATTCATGTGACGAACAACGGTACATACGAACATTTTTGCGGGTACGGGTATGTCGAAAAATGTTCTCGGACAGAGATGCTGTAAGTTTGATATTGTATTGCGCGCCTTTTTCCGAGTACTGTAGTACTTCTTTCCGCCGCTAATACCGACGTGAGGCGCTGTGAGAGGAGGAGGAGGAGGAAACGCCTGTCCCCATGAAGAAGTTTGAGACGGAACTCTTGGCCGAGGGGTTTTCGCTCATAGATAAAGCCATCGCACTCTTCGAGCAGCAAGACCCAAATATTGAACGTTGCACAAAGGTTGCAAATCAAATGAATGATGCCATACAGTGCTACTGCATCATTTATGATAAGACAAAGAAGAAAACTGTGCAATCGTCCATCATCTCCTTAAGCCTTCGAGTACATCTTCCAAAAGTAAGTTAAACTTCATTTTATTATACTTATATAAACCTTAAACATACTTATATAAGGCTTAAACATACATTCCATACAAAATATAGCACTGAAGCAACTTACGAACGAATTCAGCTAACGAACAATCTTTCGGAACGTATCTTGTTCGTTAGCTGGGGAGCGTCTGTAATTCCTGTGCTGGAGTGAACATATCTCCGATCATTTTTTTATGCCAGTGACGTATAGTGACAGGCAGAACAATTAAATGCTCGTCCACAAGATGGCAGAATGTGCAATTTACTGATGAAGCCACCTGTTGCCGCACATGCAACAGACGGGGATGATTATTTCATGGTCCAGTGGACCCTCGTTTATGACAGGAGCACATTCCAAATCCACCCGCAACAGGTGGAAATTTGTGATGGAGACCATATATAGATTTTTAAGTATCTTGGGGTCTTGTTCACGACGCAGGGCAGGAGGCAGCGGGAGATCGACAGGCGGATCAGTGCAACGTCTGCTGTTAGGTTTAATTTCTATCGGTCTGTTGTGGTAAAGAAGAAGCTCTAGCCAAAAGGCGAAGCTTTCAATTTAGCGGTCGATCTACGTTCCTACCCTCACCTATGGTCACGAGCTGTGGGTCGTGACCGAAAGAACGAGATCCCGGATACAAGCGGCCAGGTTTCCTCCTCAGGGTGTCCAGGCTCTCCCTTTGAGAGAAGGTGAGACGCTCGGGCGTCCGGGCGGGGCTCAGAGCCGAGCCGCTTCTCCTCCACGCTGAGAGGAGCCATATGAAGTGGCTCGGGCATCTGATGAGGATGTCTCCTGAACACCTCCTGGGTGAGGTGTTCAGGAGGTGCCCCTCCCACCGGCAGGAGACCCCGGTGACGACCCAGGACACCCTGGAGAGAGACTATGTCTCCCAGCTGGCCTGGTGACGCCTCAGGATCCCCGGGAAGAGCTGGAAGAAGTGGCTAGGGAGAAGGAAGTCTGGGCTTCCCTGCTCAAGCTTATTGCCCCCGCAACCCGACCCCGGATAAGCGTTGATGGTATCGGTAAAGGTTGGGCAAGGCTGTGCTGAATCGCCTCCCTCTCTTCCAGTGCCATCATGACGGGCTCGTACAACAACTTCTTCCGAATGTTCGACCGCAATACCCGGCGGGACATCACGCTGGAGGCGTCCCGGGAAAGCAGCAAGCCGCGGGCCACGCTGAAGCCGCGCAAGGTGTCCACGGGCGGCAAGCGGAAGAAGGACGAGATCAGCGTGGACAGCCTGGACTTCAACAAGAAGATCCTGCACACGGCCTGGCACCCCAAAGAGAACGTGATCGCCGTGGCCGCCACCAACAACTTGTACATTTTCCAGGACAAGATCAACTAGAAGAGCGGGGACGGGCTTTGGGCGTCCTTGTTGTAGTTCAGCCTACTACGTGTCTGTCTGTATAAGAACAACAAGAAAAAAAAACGGCCTCGTCGTCCTCCCGGTGAAGAATTTTTCGAAAGCACGCGTCTACTTTTTTGGAGGCCGACCCGTAGGTCTGTTTTATTTTGAATCTAAGCTTAGGTTGTTTTTTTTTTTTTTTTTTTTTTTTTGCCTTTTGGCATCAGGGCAATCATCGCACCCCCCCTCCTTCGCCACCTCGCCCCAGTGACCCAGAAAGCCCAAACCTGGATCTCATTGACGGAGGTCAAACTCTTGAACGTCAATGTTTGTGTTGACAATTTTAACCTTGGTTTCACCGTTTTAAAGGCTCGGAAGCTGCCCCCCCCCCCTCCCTCCACACAAGTGACGTCGTACCGCCGTCTGAAAGGTTTCCGAGCACCGAAGAGCGGATTAACGGTTGGTGGGCAGAGGGGGGAAAAAAAGTCAGAAACTGTAACATTCCTTCCCTCCCGCCGGCCGCATATCTGCTGGTGGAAGTGGCCGTGAATCTGGAGAGCGGACTTTTTTTTTTTTTTCCCCTCCCTTTCTTTCCCCTTCTCGTACTTACGTTCTCCCGCCACCCATCAATACAGTGACCTGATTTCACTGACTGTATCTACTCAAGTACACCTTGTCATCCACATAATAAAAAGAAACAAAAACGACAGATGTGTTTTTAAATTTCGATGTATATTGCTTTGCATGTTTTTATGTTGTAGAGATGGAACATGTCCAGTCGCAGCACTGTCTTTTTTTTTTTTTAGCAGATCTCTATTGAACTACCATTTTGGGGCTACCAGTTCCGCAACCACTGTTGGACACAACTAATAGTGTGTGTGTCAATGTGTGTGTGTGTGTGTGTGCGTGCGCGCGTGTGTGTGTTTCAAGTTCCTCTTGATTTTAGAGCGCGTTTTACTTTTTGTTTTGTTTTTTGTGGGCCGGTAAAGCACACGGGCACAAGACGGACAAAGGGAACCTGCAGCCTTAATTCCGACTTTCTATGAGTGACAGCTACAAGTTCCGACCCCCTCCCAGCCCGGACCTCACGTGCATTATGAGTTTTAATTCCGATATTTGACGCGTGATGTCCACATTAACGCCGCTGCTACGAATACACATTGCACCCATACGCGTCGGCGATAAAGAGTGCCTCCCAATCTTAGGAGTGTTGACAGCCCTCATCCGTCTCCTTCCTAATACGGGGAAGTTCCTCCGAAAATGCAGACATACGTCAAGGTTACAAGTACGTTCAAAACAAAACACACAACGCATTGTCTTTGTCCATTGATTCCTCATATGGTGGCAATGTATTCACTGGTTTTATTATTTTGACCAAAGTTCAATAAAATTTTAATTGTGTTCATCTTTTGGGCGGATTTCCTTTCACATCACTCGCAAAAGCCGCATGCATTTTTCAACTTTTATTGAATCTCACGGACCGTGTTTGTGCGTCACATTTTCTTTTGTTGACAAATACCGCAGCATAATTCGTAGTGAAGTAATCACAGTACATGGATACAAATGACACAATAGTAATACACGGTACACAAACAATTGACCAATTTCGATCAAGTGATTCATAGACGTACAACGGAGCAGTTCCTAAAACGTGCAGATCTTGAGGAAGCAGCAGAAAAACCGGGGGACGGGTTAGATGAGTCCGAGAGGGGCCGCCGGCGTTTCAGTCACTTGGCCCACGGTTGCTTGATTTTTTTTCACATTCGATCTCTCATCATTTAAAGGCATGCTGAGGTCTCATCAAGGTCCGAATGCAACACTTCTCAGAGGGTGCTGTGGGAGGCCAGACGCTTCCCGATGTATATCCTAAAAAAAAAAAAAGACGGTAGACCACATCAATTCTATTTTTTGGCTAAAATTCCTTAAGGTATTAAGAGTTCAAAATAGCTGTCTATTAGCTACAGGCTTGTGCAAGAAAGTAAAAAAAACAAAAAAAGGATCATCCTACTAGAACAACAGAGCTTTGTATGGAGATTGAGCAGAGGTACCGTACTTAAAATTGTGGTAATTATGCGCAAACCGAGTTTGAAACTGATTGGCTAATTCTAAATGCGGCTTTTGATAACCGACTTTGAAACACTAACCCGAACTTCAATCATTACTTTCAAATTGTTACCCTACTTTCAAACTCGACTTTGGAATCCTGTTTTGAAACACAAACCCTAATTTGAAACGGTACTTTGAAACCCTCACCCTAAATTTGAAACCCTAACTCTAATATGAAAACCTCCGTTGAATACCTACACTTTCTCTCAAACTCTACTTTCAAACCCCGACCCTAATTTGAAACCCTCCTTTAAAACCCGAACCCTATTCTGAAACCTAGCCCTAACTTGCAACCCTACTTTGAAACCCTGAACCTAATTTGAAACCCTACTTCAAATGTGGACGCGTTTCGGTAACAAATTCGCAACTCCTTGAGATGCTCCCATACTGCACCGAGCCTTACCCGAGGCCGATGGCGAGTATATGCGAGATGATTAAGGAGGGCAGGAAGAGCTGCAGGAAGTCGGGCGAGAGGACGCCGCCCTTCTTCATGACGCTGCTGTTGCGCATGCTGAGCGCAGTGGTGCGCTTGGGGTGCTTGAGCAGGAACTCCCTGCGGAGGAAGCACATCAAACTTTCATGGCCCGTCGAAGGTCACGATGACAGAAAACGGTCACCTTGCCTCACTGACCAAATTGTCATATATTAAGCAAGAGGCGCCACGGCACTTCATGTGGCAGAAAAGCGAGTGAAATGACCTGAAGACAATACCAAAAAATTGTGTCGCGCCACCAGATCTTCCCCAAGTTTGGATTTCCTTCAATAAGCAGAATTAAAGGTAAGAGCTTCCAGTGATTTGAAAAAAAGAACATTTCTGTTTTTGGGGGAAAAAAAAAAACAATCTTCCCTGGCCTCATCTTATGCCTCTAATTTAATGTTCAATTATTATTCCTTAACTTCAGGCGCAGGCGACTGCATATGGACTGCTGCAACCACTGCCGCCGACGTGACAGTTTCCATCTAGTAAGGTGAGCATCTCCCTACATTTGGATTGTGTATTTTCCCCAAAAATACGTTGAACCGGTAACATTTCGTTTTTGGCAATACGCCGTCATGAACAAATCATGCTTGTGGCAATGATGCCTCAGCGTCCAACGCAAACAAACGTGAGGGTGCAGCTAAAAGACTCCATATTCCATCTTTTAAGGAGCAGCTTTAATCGAGATGATATTGTTCGGAACACCAAAATTAAATCACGACGTCTCTCTGTTTCAATCAAAACTCGTGTAGCTGATGTGGCCCCAGCCAATGTAAATACGTCAAAAAACATAAAAAGCGTACTTTGGCGGATTGTTCTCGGGTCGACTAGACCAGTCCCAGATCCAGTCTGCGTTTTTCTTCATCATCATCTCTACTTCTTGTCTTCTTTCCTGAAGGTCCTCGTCTGACTAAAAACATACATTGTGGGTTCGGTCAGGTTGAAAAAAATAAAGCACCAGTAAAGCACGGTACAGGCATACCGACAATTGTGGGTTTGTGTAAGAGCAATGTCGTCTCATTACTAATAAACTCTTTGTGCTCACTCGTAGGACAACTACATTACATTACTAGTGAGGTAGAATATTACTCGTAGCACTTTAATGCCAACTAGTGCAGGATTTGGCCTATTTTGTAACATGTAATTGAAGTACTTGTATGCCAAAGCTGTCCAACGAGTGCAGAAATGCCAGATTAGAGCGGGAAAATTTTGTTTGAAAAACGACTAGTACACTGAGCTGTCGTACTAGTGAGGCCAAAGAGGGTTACTGTAATATAGGACTTTTTTTTTTCTTGTCATGTGTAGGGTCACTCATGTTCTAAAAATCAGTACGCGTGTTCCCCACTTTCAAATCAAGACAGTAGATCTTACACTATTCAGTACCTGCAAGCTGCTGCCCCCAGAGCCTCTCCACACAAGGGGGGTCAGTGCTCTGCATGGGCTGTTGTAAGAGGGGGGCAAAGGGTCAGAGTGACTGTCTGCATTTCGCAACCATGTAGTTCCCCTTTCGAGCACAGACCTGTTGCACTCCGAGCTTCCGCCTGAGCTACTCCTGCTCGACTCGTGTTGGGCGTCCAGCAGCATGTTTTCCACGTCATCCTGCTGAGTGGACGTGGGCATGACGAGCTCCTGGCTCCCGTGGCGACTGATGCTTTGTGAGGCTGCCCCGCTGAAGTGGAACTCCACCCACGAACCTGGTAAAAAAAATTAAAAAAAAATTCGGAAAAAAATACTATAATAATGTACACAAAGCAGCCAGTGATGATGAAAAATGTATTTTTTAAACACAAGATATGTAGATAAAAATTAGTGCAAGCACAATGTAATCGTTTGCTCTCTGACTCACTTTACTCACAAAATTTTAAACTACATAGTCATATAAATACATTTTTAGAATCTTGTCGTGAAGCTTCCCAACAGTTTCCATGCTAGCTCGCGCCATTTCCGAACAAAATGTGTCATTTTAACACAATACCTTGCAAACTCTCCTCTGAAGAAGCGTCCTTTGGTATCGACATGGCACAGCTTGGCCTCCTCCTTCGTTTTAAGCGTTGACCAACGTGGCTAAAAGTTTAAATGTGGCGAAATATTCCCTGAGACCCGATCAGCTGCAGCGCCCTCCGAGCAACACACAATAACAATGACGAAATCAAGTGTTTACCTCGACGCCGATTGGCCAAATCGAGGGCGCGTGCCGTACGTATGAAAAGTAGGCCCCGCCCTCCTAGGCTAGAATGCGCATGCGCAGTCACGCTCCCCTGGAAAGCGGACGTCTTTATTGCGTCCGGTATATGTCACAATCCGGGGTTTGAAAACACACCATGACATCGACACGATACATCACAAATAGAACGTTTCAACGGACCACGTCGAGTAAAAATGTTGTGTGGCTCGGTGGATGGAGGCAGTGCGGCGCATTTGGCTCCAGGTGGCAGTAAGAGATCAGACCCCTCTCACAGTGGCATTGTTGAGCAACGTCACCATCTTCCTCGGTCAGAAGTATTTGTTTTTTGTTTTTCTCACCTCTTAGGGCTGTGTGTGACTCTTTGACTTGTATTGAGTAATACCGATAGCAGAGTTTCTACACAGCTAAAACTGAAAAGTTCCACACCCAAATTACCAGACTTTTCATTCAAATAAAATATATCGGTCTTGCAAATGGAAATATTCATATAATAGTTTACATGTCCCATGCTTTTCCAAACTCGGAAGTTTGTCAACTCCAACTCCGTATTATACCAGATACTGTTATATATAGTGGTCCTTCGATCGATATCATCAAACGATATCCGTGATAATATACTTGATCGGCATGTATCGATCAATGCCTTTCATTCCTGATTACCCGCAGCTTGTTTGGTGCAGTCTGTGTAAACAGTTACTGAATCATCATGGAGGTTTTGCCTTTTCTGCACTTTCAATCTTAAATGAGGTCATGTTTTTGGATAATAAAGGGATAGAAATTTGGATAGAATGTATTTTTTTAAATCTGATTATTGAATTAATCAAGAAAAATGTCAGATTGTATATTATTATCAATTAGTATAACAATTGTTAGTGAGCATCTGTAAAATTGACAAATGTGCAGTTAATTTAATCCACGCGATCGGTCTGGGAATCGGTATCGGCCGATCTCACTCATGGATAATCGTAATCAGAATCGGCACCGTACCGGCCATGATCGAAGCACTCCTACCTGAACAAAGTGCATTATTTTGGATTCATGATGGCCATATTTTCTCATATAGTGCCCGGTAATTCTTCAATGACTCAACTCATGTTGTGTTTGCACATTCTCAATTGTTGTATCTAGCGGTGGTGTTTCAAAATGCACACAAGTGTGTATAATACTTGTTTTAATCCTTACATACGAACGTCCAGCGTAATTTGACTAGTCCTTAAAATCCACATGAACTGTGCCTGCTATCTCGCCGAGGCGACTCCAAATTTGAGGCGGGCAAATGAAATTATGTTTTCCTCGCGTGGAGATTAGCGTGACTGATTATTCCTGGAGAACTCAATTATTTCTGCAATTTAGGGAAGCTATTACTTTCAAATGTGTCCTCCTTCCTGCCAGACATGGGCTTGTTACCAAACTGAAATACACTTTGAAACAAACACAGCACACTGTGCAAAATGGAAGAAATTCAATGTGTCTTTTTTGCATGGCGGAATTGCTTTGCAAAAAGAGCAACAAATGTTTCCGAGAAGGGAAGTTATCCACTCAGAGGAGATGTGCTCCCAAAATAGCTCTTCATAGGGGTCATGTTGTGGAAAATTGACTTTTTTTTTCTTTTTTTTTTTTGGTCTTGTATACAAATAGTTGAGTCTAAACTCACACGCTCTGCCCAACCGTCAAGTGCGAAATGAAACAACCAAATCTTTTAGCTCACTGTTTCTGAAAAATGTGTCTGTGAGTGTGATATTTTGCTTTTGTTGCGCAATAGTTGTGTATGGAACATCTTATCTTCGAAAACACCCGAGAATTTTTTTTTTTTTAATGTCTGACTGATAACTTTCCACTACTGACACGATAGTAAAAAAACAAACAAATACAGTACTGCGAATGCTTGCTCGGGGGGGCGTCACCCCAATCGCCTTCAGGCTTGCAACAATTTTTGAGATGTGATCATCTGCACAGAAAACGATGAAAGCGTATACGCTTTGCAGTTTAACATCATCCGTCTGTCTAATTCAGCCTGTATGAATATGGAAGAGAGCCCAATAATTCCCCCATGACAAGAAAGTTAACACCTGGAATTTTCTGGCCATTTCCTCCAACGTAGTGACCAAGTACCGCATCTGGGCCAAATGGTAATACGCGAATAAATCATCTTTCCATACAAAAATAAAATGAAATATGTGGACGGCTTATGAAATGTCAATACTGTTGGTTTCAATAAGCAACGCGTGCATCCTCCAAAAACATTTATGCATCTGCAAACCCGAAGCGAGCAATCGCATATCGTGCTGGTGTTAAGTGCTTTAGATTTTCATAAGCTGCAGTCAGCATGTGTTGCCGGCGACGATGATTGGGTTAAATGTTATGGAGCTTTTGTTCATCTCCGCATCCCGACAACAGACGGCATTCCAAGCGCAACTCGTATCTGGTATTAATACGATATCAGCAAAGAGAAAAACAAATGAATGTGGCTAACAGGCGAAGTGGGATATGAAACGTTGATTAGATACAGCATATAAATAGGTTTGTGGATGGGGAAGATGAGAAGGAGGGAAGACAGGAAGTTGTAGTAAGGCAGGAAGACATTTAGCATCTGTTCCACTCCTGATTAGCACTGACAATTAACCTCCATTGGCCACATCCTGCTTTCTATCAGCCACAGAGATAGAGAGCGACATTTGACTGGTAACGTCAATACTAAACACTCGGGATGTTCGATATCGCTTTTTTTTCAGACTGATACCAGTGCGAATATTCACCCTTGAGTACTCACTGACGCCGATACCAAGAGAGCGACATTTGACTGTTCGATATCATTTTTTTTTCAGACCGATACCAGCACGAGTATTCACCCTTGAGTACTCACTGACGCCGATACCAATACCGATACTACTACTACAGATGATCCATCAAATTTCACTAAACACAAGAACAGAAAATTGTGAACAGAAAGCAGGTCTCGACCTTTCTGTCTTTCTCACACACATAATGATTCAGCAGTGTGTCAAACGGCCGCAGTGCTATGCCAACTACAAGCAAGGAAGACTTATTTGATTCCGGATTTGTTTATCTTTTTCCTTAAATATCAGTGAATGGTATCGACATCTTTCAGAAGACCCCCGTTATCTTGAAATAAGTCTGGTATCGGCCCGATATCCGATGTCTATGATAGCATTGAACTGGTGTTGATAATTATATTTAAAAATATCAAGGGAATACTCCTTTTTGCTCCGATTTTTCAGGAGCTGAATTCAATGATCGAAAAGTGTTTCTACGCAAACCAGTGGTGTCTAAAGTATGGCCCGAGCACCATTTCTGGCGATTAGCCTGCATTACTTGTTGTCAAGCATTAGCATCACTGTATCCATGTTGGCGATACCGCTCATATCATGAAATCTATTGGCCCACTTTATTTCACGCTCATATACATTTTTAACCCCCCGAAACACGATCTAATTATGGATTAACATTGAACACCTGCAGAGCTATATTTAATATTCATTAGCCCTTATGAGGCCGCATGAGCCCTTATGTAGGAATTGCCTCGTGCTGTAATGGGAATTTTTTTGGGGGGGGGGGATTAAAAAGCTTGAGGTAAGCTTCCATAAATTAGACTCTGCGTATTCTACGAATATTAACTCGTTTTAATTGTTTTATTTATTTATTTTTTTGAAGCAGGTCTTCTCTTAAAAGTGAATTTGCTTTGCTGAAAGCAATCTGCGATGAATAATTTAACAGCAACTTCTTTTCGCACGTGAAAAAAAGGGATGTACTGTAATTAACGGACAGAGTGAAAGAGAATGGAACAAGTGTCCCTGAAGGATGGCTGATTATTTTTCTTTTAATACGTACAGTATATAAACACAAGATTGTGGCTTTTTTAATTCCACACGGGGGGCTCCTGGCTCCCTTGAGTCTTTAAGATTGGTTTGTTTTGCGATGGATTGCTGATGCTCACACACACACACACACACACACACACACACACACACACACACACACACACACACACACACACACACACAAAATCATAATAGCCCAGTCGCCTTATTTTATGAAATACAGCTGTTTGCGAACAAGAGCCCAATGAAATAAAAGGATGTTCTTTTCCAACAAGCCCTTTTGGTTTCATGCATTGTTTTTTCTTAGCACCTTGTGACCAGAAATTTCGGTACTTAACTTTTTTTTTTGTCTTTCTTTTTTCAAAATATTTTTGTAATCGCACAGTGGGATCCTAAAACATAATTCGATTCAGTCAGGACCTAACATTCTATTTTTTTTTTTCCTATTTCGTTTCAGGTCTCATTCAGACAGCCGTGATGCAAAGCATTTGACAACCCAGTGAACAGAAGAGGTTTCAATTTGTTTAATGCCATTGCCAGTTACAAAAGTTTACAGTCAAAACTAACCGTGAAACAAAGATAATTACACATATTTTACTTAAAAACAACCACATGACTTTGCGTTAAATCCATTATCTCAATGCTAAGCCTTCATGGGGTGAAACAGGATTAGATGAGCTACCGAATAGCTATGTGGCAACGTTACAACACTTCAAGCAATGTTTTTTTTTTTGAAACGCCAACGGTGAAGCAACACATGCAGACAGACAATATAACAATATTCCCAGGCAAATATTCTCTTAATCCTCTGTGACAATAACTTGCATCTGATTGTTTTTACACTGGCACCCGATAGTCAATACCAAAAGGAGCCACACTCTTTATCGAAACATGGAACGAGTTAAACTCGCATCTTGCTGGATACTCATTTTCTTGTTGACACAATTGGCCCTATTCCACATTTGGATATCTGGTCAAAGGGCTGAGATCCACCGCAAATTGAATTTGCTGGGGAGGAACGGCAATTAAATACCCAAGCATTGAAAAAACAAGCGATTGAAGCAAGTAAACAAGCAATCAGTGATGGAAAGGAAAGCGAATAGAGGAATCGGAGAGAAAAATGAAAAAGCAAAATCAAGCTGGATCTCGCCCCTGCTTGCAGCCCCCCCCCGGCATCTAAGTCGATTATCCAGAATCTTGATCAAGCCGAGCGGGAGGAAGTATCATGTACTCCAGTGCTCCATCCATAATAAATGAGCCAGCATTCAATTAAAATCCCTCTATTCATCTCCAACTACGATAAAAACTTATTAGTATGGTCTCGAGGCCTCTGTCTGACACCGCGAGCCAGCCTTAATCATCCTGCATGTCTGGGATGCAGTTGGCGCTCGGCGCTCTTTAATTGCCTCAAAGTTCAGACGCCCTTTTGAGAGACATGACTCGAAGATTTAAAGAGACGAACGCAATGAGGAGAATGCGCAGACGGCTGATGGTGGGAACTTGTGCCAGCAGCAACTTTTTAAAGCCTCTTTTTTTTTTTTTTTAAATCGACTTTATATGAAGCCCTTAAACGCTTTGAATAAATCATATTGTCTCTGCAAACACTGAAAGTGGACATGTGTGAATTTATGATGCAGGCACAATCAGCCCGCTTGGCAGGACCATAAAATAGAAAGGCATACATATTTTAACACATTTGGTGAAACAGAACACTAGTTTTAGTAGATAGCTGTTAAAAAAAAAAAAAAAAAAACACACACAACAGGGCTGAGCTGTAAAAAGGTGACCACAATTATATGCATGCTTACAAAATAAGTTAAGTATTGTTGTAATTCACGTCTATGTGTTGGGGAAGGGGGAGTGTGTTTTTTTTTTTTTATTGTTTTTTTTTTTAAAGCAGCTGCCTTGACTGCCTATACTTCCGTGCATTTTAGCTGCTGAGATGACACACTTCACTCTTTCAAACACAGGTTGGGGTCCATAGTGTATGTAACTATGAATTTTGTTAAGTATTGTTTTAAATCGGGCGAGTGCCGGTTCTGACAGGGCCACCACTTAAAAAGGTTTAATGACGGACCCTGTTCAGCTGCAACTGCTGTCCGAAACTAGTGCGACCACAAAACCTTTAGGCTTTGGGTAGGAAGCAAATGAAATATCAGGAAAAGCCTACTAGAACAGCCGAAATTCATTTGGGGTTAATCGGCGGCACGTTCAATGATGTCAGGTTTGTGCTCATTTCACATAATTTGAATGTGATTGGTTAACTATGAATGGAGTCCCATTCGCTAGTTATGCTCTTTATTTTTGTTTTACTTCCTCTCTTGAAAAGACTAACCCAAAAATTGAATTGAGTTATCACGGTGGAGCAAAATTTGAAAGGATTAATCTTCACATTAATCATATTTTTTTACATCACAAAAAAACAAGTGTTTTGAAAACGGGGTGGGGGTGTGTAGACTTTTGATATCGATTGTATGTTAGTCATCCCTTTTGACATGTGCTACCTTGGCCCAAAAGATGTTTCCCATGTCAACATATTAATAGCACGCGTGAGCTTCACATACCAGGGTGAAGTCGAGCTTCTGTTACGCAATTTTTCTCATCCCGCATTGTTCATGGGAAGTCCAGCTGAGAGACATTGATTCAGCACAGATGACCGTTTGCGGTGACTAATAGCGGTCATATTTTTAAGTCTCGCAGATTGAGTCCAAACATGCGCACCACAGGAATCTCAAACAATAAATTTCCACGGCGCAAGTCATGGGAATCTCGACTGAGCGGCGCTTTTTCCACATCTCTTCGAGTTCACGGCGTAGTAAATGTCAATTGGTTTGAAATGTGCCATACAAGCAAAAAAAAAAAAAGCAAACTGTAGTGTTCATTGCAAACATTGCACACTGATAAGCTTATGTGCGCATATGAAAGTTAATTGTGTCATTCGCAGAAGCCACGCCTACTTGCAATTCGTTGCTGCAGTCGTGTTTGACTCCAGGGGAGGATTTAATGACATCCTGATATGAAGGGGCAATAATTCATGATAAGCTGCCTTCAATGATGCAGCCGCCCACACACCTCCTAGCTTTAATTTTCCCCTTCATCTAAGTGCCTCCCGCTCAGCGCAGGCAAGTTGCCGGAGTGAGGATGGGATAATTTGGCCTCAATTTGATTTTCAAATCATCAGTCGTGTCGCTTTTGCGTGTATTTTCTCTCTTCTAATAGCAGGCACAAAGAAGACACGAATGCACTTGACGATTCATTCTATCAATTTTTGAGAAAATATTTGGGACTATGATGCAATGTTTTTGTTTTGTTTTTTTTAAACGACTAAAACGGTGCCAAAATATCTCTATGTTTCCAGGATTAGTGTGACCAACTGCCCGTTCAACTCAAGTGATTTGATAAACAACTGCATTTATGTGGCTGCGTAAGTGTGCACACCCTATTTTAACTGGGATGTCTTGCGTGTATTTTCTCTCTTCTAATAGCAGTCACAAAGAAGACACGAATGTACTTGACTATTCATTCTATCAATTTTTGAGAAAATATTTGGGACTATGACCCCCAAATAAATATCCGTGGTTCTCGGGGGGCCTTTCCTAATATCGCCTTTGCTTTCGTGAAGAAGCCGACGGGTTTTTAGCTCACGACGACTGCTATTTTGAATGGTTCAAACGGCTAAAACGGTGCCAAAATATCTACATGTTTCCAGGATTAGTGTGACCAATAGCCCGTTCAACTCAAGTGATTTGAAAAACAACTGCATTTATGTGGTTGCGTAAGTGTGCACACCCTATTTTAACTGGGATGTGGTTGAATTCAGAATGAACCAATCAGATTGACACGGGAGTCAGCACACAACTGCCACCGTTTCATGAGCCTCTAATTAATCCCCAAATAAATATCCGTGGTTCTTGGGGGGCCTTTGCTAATATCGCCTTTGCTTTCGTGCAGAAGTCGACAGATTTTTAGCTCACGACGACTGCTATTTTGAATGGTTCACAAGTCTATTCACCTTGTCTAAAAGGACAAGTGACTTGCTGTGGTCACCCCGACTGGCCGATGGTCACATCCTCCAATGGAAGTTTTGTTTTTTTTTCGAATTAAATGGCAGGTTGGATCATTTATGGGTCAGCTTATAGCTCATCTGTGAGGATTTGGGCTTTGGAGCTGGAGGACAGCAGTTTGAGCCTAGAAGCAGACAATATTTTCAAATTGCCAACCAGCTGGTGGAGGGATGCTGACCTGCTTGCTGGCTACTGTTGCAATGCCCTCGAGCAAGGCACCGTCCCCACCGCTGGCACCCAAAGAGGTGCAGCACTCATTTGTGTGCCCATTTCAACTCCGGATTTCTCCTTGCATGCCTGCAGTTGTGATCTGCTCCTCTATGTGGTTGTGCAAAACAAAAACACAAAGTGACAGTCGAATTTTCCCTTGTACATCATGATATAATAATTTACCAAACATGATGGCCAGTAGGTTACCCATCCCAAAATGAAGCTGTAACTTCATACTCCGACTGTGTATTTCTCACTGATTGGGTTTTTTTCTTTCTGTAATGTGCTAAAAAGATGATTGACAGTCCATAACAAACAGTAAATGTCCAAGCGATGAACCGCATTTTAGAACTTCATACTAAGTTCGAAAAAATGTCACATGCCTCACGATAAGATAAAAGAGCGCATGTGATGTATGCCTGCCAAGTGTATACAGTATAAGACTGATATCTAATTAACATACATATCATGATAGAGATGTTTTGCATATATTATTGAATGTTTTGGAACGTGTACCCTTATTTAGTAACAGATACACACACGCGCGCGACAGAACCAACGGCACATCAACCGAGTTACGGCGACCGATGTAACATTCAGTAAATACTGAGGAGTTTACATTTCAACATGCACCATCAAATGATCTTCCAAGTTGAGTCCTCTTATAAATCCACCTGGCTTTTCCTGCAGAGGATCTTTTTAAAGGACCTGCGGAAGTCGTTATTGAATATGGTGTAGATGACCGGGTTGAGGGAGCTGTTGCAGTATCCCAACCAGAAGAACATTTTGAAGAGCGTCTCGGGCACGCAGCACACGCAC